TAGTAATTAAAAGAATCAAGGAATTGGATAAAAGGATAGAATTCCATGATTGTAGACAGGAAGCTTCATTACTATGTCAGTACAGATTTGAGCTACAGATTCAACAAAAGTACAACAAAATGTCTAACTAGTAATGCTATCAACAACAGAAAAATGAAAAAAAGATCACCAAGAAGAACAAATGATCCACACAAGACTGAATAAATAGTACACATAGTGACATCAACTGGCTTGAAAACTTCCCATATACCTACAATAAGACTGTACTGTTTGGAAAAGAATAAAGACATTTACAGAACATCAGAGAAAATTTAGAAATAGACAAGATAAAAATATAGTCAGTGTTGACAAATGAGGACATGAAAACTACCTCAAAGGATTTCATGTTACCTTGGAGAAACCCACAGGACCTCACTGGTCACCATGGGAAGTCATGGGACCTCAAGGAACCTCATAAGACCACCTGGATCACCATGGAAACTCCCACAAGACCTCATAGGTCCTCTTTGCCAGGTGCTGCCATTTCCACCATGCCTTCCATGACCCGCTGTCTTTGCCATTTACCTGCCAGTGAGTGGTTTTCCATTTTGATTGCCGTATAACTATGCAACGGCACAGGCCCCATGAACTGCAGATGTTCCTTTTGTCTTCTTTAGCTTTTTGTCTTATACCCAATTGTAGTTTAATGATTTTGTGATATCTTCTTCCTGAAACTTGGCCATTCCATCTCAAGTCTAGAGGTTAACACTTTCTATTTTAGTTTAGGATCCATCAATGGTTGATGAGCCATCAGTAAACCCTGCCTTAGCCAGAGGATTTGACCATTCTGTTGGTTGCTGCAGTTGAGAGTTGCCTCTCTTGGAGGAGGGGTGAGCACTTTAGGTTCTGAACTATTTCTTCAGTGCTAACCATATCCCGGTCACTAAGGATTTCTGATATGTACCATTTCCACTGTAATACCTTTTCATCCATGCTGAGGACTCTGCCTTTGAAGAGATCCAATCTATCATTGTAAGGGGTGCCCAGATCACCATAGGATAGTTGGCCTTCACTATCAGGTTCTCCATGCCTCAAAAAATGTAGAGATTTTTTTCTGAGAGGATATTTGTTCTCCTTATATTGAAAGTGTTTGCAACAGAATTCATATGGTAAATGTAGGTGGACTCTTGTTGGTTTATGAAGAGCCCATACATGCCAATTAAGCAATAAATATGATGATATCTATCGTCAGGATACCATCTGGTTAAACAGTGGTCAAGGTTGCATGCAGAGAAGAGCACAAAGGCAGCCACAAAAGCTGCTCTTTTTTCTTGTCCCCATTGGAAATTAGCTGCCTTACTAGTAATTCTGTAGAGGATTGATTACAATAACCATTAACCATGGCATCTGACTTTTGACCTTGAGTAGTGGCATTAAAAACATGAACTACCATGCCTTTAAGAAACAAGTAAGCTATAGAGATCTGTCTGTCTCTGCAGGAATGAAGAGTATGGGCCATCACTGCTCTCTCAAACATCTTAGCTCCCAATATAAGTCTGATTTTAGAAAAACAGGTGGAGCTATAGTAACCCTTTGAATTTACTTTAAAAAATGTAAATCTCTTAACTGTGATTTTTAACAGCAAACAATACAAATATCCTTTTTGTTTAAGAAGAAAACTCAAAAGCTGATGTCCAAAATGTCATGGGTCACGTTACAATCTACAGTCTAACATTGTAGCATGGAATTGAGACATGTGGACAAGAAAAGCCATGCTTCATTTCATGCTAGTAAGACAAGTGTGTCATTGGTAAATTATCATTTGAAATTTTTTAAAAAAAAAATTTTTCTTGTCTGATCAAAGAAAGGCATTTGTTAGTCTTTATATTAGCTTGGATTGAATGACCAAGCTGTCTGATGAACTGTCACCTCTTCTTATTAAGCAGGTCCTTCCTATTCAAAAACTACTTTATCAATGCTGATAGTATTCACTGCTACTTTTCTCCTGTGAAAGCAAAGGTAAAATCTCTTTTCCAAAGGAACACATATCCCAGTTTCCATTCTAAGGTTAACACATCTTTAAAATATAAAACTAATTTAATTCACAAGTTCTTTAAACTATACAATATTTCTCTGTGCCTATTGTCTGTTCTCATGGGCATATAAAAATTTGATGTTAATAAAACACTTAGATCACTGTGTAATCTAACTTTGGGAGTTTTGATGATGACAGATAATGATTGGGTCACCTTTGATATTGGGGCCTCCAGAAGGCCCACTCAGAACATTTCCCAATGTCAAAGATTTACCTTGTCTGTCCCTTCATGATCTGAATTCAGCCGTACAATGCCAGCCTTTGTCACATCTTCTGCGTGCTCCAGAAGCCTGAGATCTTTTTAAATTTTCTCTAGAAAAAAATGATGGGCATTCTATTTAGGGGCTTTACCCATGAGCCACAAAATTCCCTAGATTTTTTAAATATTGCACTGTAGTCATGTTTATTGCCATAACTGAGTTTGGGTCCAGAAGCTCAAAACTATCTACTAAGCCCATCTGCCACATTCCTGCCATCACTCCATGTTCCATACTGGTTATGTTTCCCTTTCACAGTGAGCTTACACTCCCTGGTGGATAGTTGTGATATAGGTGGCATATCAGAAGTTGTAACATGTGAAGTGTTGCAGAGTAATGGGAATCACAGGGAGTGTGTAGGGAGTCATGGTGTGATGGGGCTACTTGAGCACCATTGGTACTGTCCAGGATGATATACCAGTGCAGAAGTCCTGGTCATCATCCTGCAGGCTGAGGAAGCTGGTCCCTAAGGCTTTATCTTGCAGAGGTGAATGATGGAGACTGAATCCCTGAGCTGTCTCCTCAACAGCCCTGGACTTGCATCAAGTGCATCTATAGCAAGACACAATGACACACCTCTGTACCTAAATCAAAACCTGGTCATTAATGGCTGAAGCAGGGACATGTCCCAGAGGCATCTAGCATAGGCTGGATCCAGCAAGCTATCCCTCTGTGTACAAAGACGGTTTTCTTTATGTCCCATTATCTGACCGAGCTCCACAAAGCATGTAGTAACTAGATTCTCAGCAGCAAGACTGTCATTTGGCTTCTCAGTGCCTCCTCCTTCAAGAGCTAGCCAGGATAGCCTGCTGCACCTTCAAAGCCTCCTTTAGCAGAAAGGCTTCTTTGGCAACTTGTGTAATCTGGAGGGGGCAGGGGTTTCATGAGGGGCCACCCTGAGCCAGGATGCAACCAGGGACCTCTTCACTGGAACTTGGTACTGAGTACCAGATTCAGGGCAGGAGCTGATCCAACTCAGAACTTGGGTTTGAATATGCCAGGTGCTGAAAATGTTTCTAATTTAAATTTTGTGGAAGGAAAAAATTCAAACAATTATTTTGTTACCCTTGAAGGGATTCCAGATCATGTTTTGATATTCATCAAATCTTGGCATCCAGATTGGTCTCTTCAGGGGGGAAATATTCAGCTTCTAGGGATTTGAACTTGATCTCAGGTAAAACAAAGTACAAGAGGGGTGGAATATATAGGGCCAGAATGACAAACAGGAAAAGTAAAGCAATATATGGACAATACAGCCATGAATTTATGGGGATGTGATTTGTTACCACAATCAAAAACACATATTATCTTTTAATGACTCAAGGCCCTGTGTACTCACAGCACAAATAAACCAGGCACTGTCCACTGTCTGAACTTCAGGTCAGCAAATACTTTGTCTATTTGGCTCTAGATAGAAAGCCACAATGCCTGTCCTTACGGTCTCCATTGGCACATTTTGAGGAATTCTAGATTCTGGAGATGCCTTGCCATGCCTAATAACCCATAAAGTCAACTTGGAGAATAATATCAATTTATGAAATGCCCAACTTTGACCTGTGACCTCCACACGTGCACATTCACACAAAGAACACAAAAAAAAAATGATACAACTGCAGGCTAGAGACATGAATGTTTTGGTAAGGATACTTGCTGCCAAACCTGTTTTATATCTGAGAACCATCACTGGGAACCACATGGTTGAAGGAGAAAATGGATTCAGGTAAGTTGTCCTCTGATTCCCATAAATGCATTCCCTCACCCCTACATTAATAGATACATGCAGACTTAAAAATTTTATGAGTACCCGTGGGATACATGGGTTCAAATCCTGCTAATGGTCCATTTATTGTCTTTTACCTTTGTTCAGTGACTTCACCTCCCTATGCCTGTTATTCAGACAGATGTAAGTGCACCACACTTGTTACCATAGTTACAATAGCCAGTTGGAACAATACCCAGAATTGCTCTAGCCACGACTGTCTTCCTTCTCTGTTTCAGTTTCCCATGTGAGAAGTGGAAGGATTCTGCAATACTGTGCCACCTGGGAGGTTTTTCAGTTTTGTGTAATCTCAGCTTAGTGTGCTCCACCAGTGAGCAAGAAGGAAGCCTCTTTTCCATCACCCTCCTTGTCCTTGTCCACGGACTCCTGGGCACAGCTCTGGCCCTGGCATGCTCACTCACCCTCGATATGAGGCCACTGAAGCTGCAACTAAGCCATGACCATGGACTCAGTAGTGTATATCTATCTCTTCATAAGCAATGCCTCACACTGCATTTGTGGCCTTAGCCTACATGAGACTCTCAGGACATTTCGACCCCCAAGAGGTCGAATCCTGGGCCTCTTCCCATCTTCCATGATGAAATGCTGGCATTCCATTTCAAGCAAGGTTCTGGAATATAATCCAACTGTGGAAACATTCAGATCTTGTCATGCACCTCTGGCTACTACCTGTGAGTCCCAGGACACACAGTTAGTCACTCTGCGCTCTGGCTTGCTCACTCCCTAGTCCAGCCCTGTTCTCCAGGTAATTAGGAAGCTGAGGCCAAGGGGCAGGATTCAAGGGCTACAATGTGAGTTCTAGACCCGTCTAGGCAACTGAGATAGACTCCATCTCAAAACACACACACACACACACACACACACACACACACACACACACACACACACACACACACACACACACACACAGTTTATTTTAACAAAAGTTTGTGTTTGCAGTTTTGATTTGGTTTTGAGGCAGGTTCTCAGTGTAGACGTGTATATGAAAACTCGGCTACCTCAATGTTTTCATATCAGATGGCGATCATTGGATAGAATACTTGCTCAGCACACACAAGACCTCTGCATAAACAGGGCATGGTAGTAAAACCTTCCATTGCAGTAACTGGAGTTGGAAGCAAAAACACCTGAAGTTGAAGGTCAGCCTGAACTTCATTATCCTGTTTAAAAAAAACAAAAAAAAAAATTAAGAAAAAATGTCAGTGCTCAGTGCTCATCATGGCATGGGTCAGCAGGTATAAGTGCTTGTAACCAAGATGGATGGACCTGGTGTGGTCCTCAGAACAGACATGGTAGAAAGGAAGAACTGGGTCACACAGGCTGATATCTGATTTCAAACTATACTATTCATGTAGACTCACAAATGATAACAATAATAAAATGAATCTTAAATGAAAAGGGATGAGAAATTGTTTAGCAGTTTAGCACCTGGCATGGACTGCACGGTGACCATTGCTGTTTGACAAGTCCCAGCATTTCCTCATTGCCGATCTTAATTCTCCAGCATCATTTTTTTTTCAATTTTAATAATTCTCACTATATGTTATGGAGTTTCCTTATGCCTTTTACTGTGGGAAATTTATTTTGCTGGCTACACTGGAGGATGGGAACATATACATAGGCAAGGAAGTCTCTTTAAACAAAATTCTTGGAAAAAATCCCACCACCATGGAACCACACAATGTGATTACTATGCCTACTCCCACACATGAAGCCCCATTGTGTCCCCCTGATTAAACCAAAAATAGAGAACTTAATGATTTACTAACTGGATACACCTAGTTCCAGGGATGAAAGTAACTATGAAAGGAAACAATGGGTTCACATCCAGAAAAGCATGAAGATACTTGCTGAATTTATCACTTTTTGCCCCAGGAAAAATGCTGTAATGTGGTTGATGGCTGCTTTTATCCTGGAATCACTAAGTCTGTTTTTAACCTGCTTGAGTCTAAACTAAGATTCAGTTATAGAGCATAAAATGTGTAGTTGTTTTTCAATAAAGGATCAGCCATACTGATTCATGCTCAAATCATGGCAGTCTCCTTCCTCTACTGATAACTGATCGCTTCTTTGGGACCTGAACTCTTATGACAGCGGACTCCAGCAAGTACCTCCTGTAGAACACAAAATTCATTTTCCTACAGACACATGGCAGCTCACATCAGCTCACATCTGAAATTACCACATTAATTACATCCATATGATACTATCCAGTATAAATTCTTTCATGACTGTGAAGATTACTCTTCTTTGCAAATGCTTTACCACATTGGTCATATTCATAGGGTTTTTCCCCAGTATGAACTCTTTCATGACTTAGAAGGCTACTCTTCTGTACAAAGGTTTTACCACATTGATTACATTCATAGGGTTTCTCTCCAGTATGAATTCTTTCATGACTGTGAAGATTACTCTTCAATGCAAAGGCTTTACCACATTGATTACATTCTTAGGGGTTCTCTCCATTATGAATTCTTTCATGGGTGAGAAAATAACTCTTATTTGCAAAGGCTTCACCACACTGATTACACTCATATGGTTTCTCTCCAGTATGAATTCTTTCATGACTTTGAAGACTAATCTTCTGTGCAAAGGCTTTACTACATTGGTCACATTTATATGGTTTATCTCCAGTATGAATTCTTTCATAAAATAGAAAACTACTCTTCTGTACAAAGGCTTTACCATTATGATTACATTCATGGGGTTTCTCTCCATTATGAATTCTTTCATAGGTGAGAAAATAACTCTTTGTTGCAAAGACTTTACCACATTGATTACATTCATATGGTTTCTCTCCAGCATGAAATCTTTCATGGCTTTGAAGACTAATCTTCTGTGCAAAGGCTTTACTACATTGGTCACATTTATATGGTTTCTCTCCAGTATGAATCCTTTTATGAACTAGAAGGCTACTCTTCTGTACAAAGGCTTTATGACATTAATTACCTTCATGGGGTTTCTCTCCAGTATGAATTCTTTCATGACTGTGACGAATACTCTTCCATGCAAAGGTGTTACCACACTGATTATATTCATAGGGTTTCTCTCCAGTATGAATTCTTTCATGGGTGAGAAGATAACTCTTTTTTGCAAAGGCTTTACCACATTTATTACACTCATAGAGCTTCTCTCTTGTATGAAATATTTCATGACTGTGAAGGTTTCTCTTCTCTGAAAAGCTTTATCACATTGATTATATTCATATGGTTTTTCTCCAGTATGAATTCTTTCATGTCTGTGATGATCACTCATCTGTACAAAGGCTCTACTACATTGTTTACATTCATAGCATTTCTCTCGAGTTTGAATTCTATGTACTTGATGCTGAAGACTGTGATATGCAAAGGCTTTATAACTTTGATTATACTCATAGGGTTTTCCTTTCAAATGACTTCTTTGGTATACTTCTAAAGAGCAATCAGATCTAAAGGCTTTATCATGTTGATTACATTCATAGAGAGCCTCTTCGTTATTGGTTCTTTGGTGTGTTTGACGATGCCTGTCAAGCCTAAAGCCTTTAGTAGATGACTCACATTTATTATCTTCACTTCTCACATGAGCTTTTTCACATCTTTGAAGAGAACTTGAAGAAATCAGAGAACACTGATTGCACTCATAACATTTTCTTATACTGTGAGCCACACAACATGTGAACAGTGAACCAGTAGAGAGAGATGAATTTCCATATTCCTGGTACTCAAAGGGTTTTTCTCCAATGAGAGTTTGTTGATGTATTCCCAATGAAGTTGGAAAACCAATTAATTGTAAACTTGTATCACAGTCATCATATCTTCTCATAGTGGGGACTACCACATATCTTCCATTTGTTTTGAGAGAGACAGAACTACAATGCTTCTTTCCATTTCCCTTTTGCTCACATGGCTTGTATCCAGAGTGACAGATGACACACCTGCTAAAGGAAGATAACAAATAAAGGGTTTTCACATTGCATACACTTAGTCAAATGTTTTGTGTGTCATACAGACGTGGAATAGAGGTTCATGTTTATATACCAAGACAACCTCCTGGTCTCTCATAAAATGCTCCTCTCAATAAACAACACTAAATTACTCACTACAAGTATATGAGCAACACTAGCTTTAATACCAAAGCTTTGCTTATAAAAGGTCTTGGCCATAAACTAATGGCCTCATCAATCATATGATAATTGGAAGGCATGATTGTAATTGGATGCAGAGTTCAACAACATGCCTCTTACATGGCTATGATTGAAACTGTGACATCTACTATGGCATTGTTTCCTTGTCTTGTCCTTAAAGGAATGCTTTGTAAACAGTGATCAGCTACCTGACATTGGAGTACATGGTGTTGTGACAATTTAATAATCATCACAAAGCTGTGCCTATTTACACAGTTGCTTCTCATTAAAAGTTCAGGGTACATTAACATTTTTTTCCAACTGTTTGAAATCTCCTGCTCATGCAGCCCCATTGCAGAAAGCCCGCCATCCATGGCTCCCTTCCCAGAGATGTCTGGAACCATGCCTACCAGCTATTTAAGACCCAGCCCATACATCTGCCATGGGTGCTCTCATGATCTGTCTCCTGCTTTCCTGAGAGCCACCTGGGAGTGCTCTGCTTTGCGCTGCCCTGTTTATTAAATCTGGATTTATTAACTCAGTTTGATTTGGCTTATTGCACCAGTGAAGGAGGAACCCAGCAATCCGAGATCCAATACTTATCTTTGGGCCATTGGCCGGGGTGAATAGTCCTTCCACAACCATGTGGTGTGGCTGTGGAAGGTCATTCACTCTCTCTCCCCACTCTACCTTTGCCACACTGAATGAACAGCTCAGTAAGCCTCCCATTCCCAAACCAAAATGTCTTAAGAGGTCCTGTGAGACCAAAATGAGCCATCTTAGAAATAAGACCAAAGTGCTTTCACCCTAAAACTAAGGCCTGAGATATCTCCTTTTAGGTACAGGCCATGAGTTACTAAAACCAGTCAGTTCAGATTCCAGAAACCAGAAAGTGTAAAAGTACAGAGTCACAAGATAGTCACAAGGTAATGCCTGCCAGACTATGGAATGTCCTCTCCCTGGTTTCCAGGGTAACTGACCATAAAAATGCCCCCACCTGAGGGCAGCCAATGAGAAATGGTGGCGGGCAACCACTCCCTTAGAAGTAATTTCTAGAAGTCCCTAGAAGCGAGCCAATCAGAATTGTACCCATACTAGCACCCCTAAATGATGTAACCTTGTGATTTTTCCCTTTAAAAACTGAGCTTGCAGACAGGCGGGTACTTCCTCCAGCCTCCACTGCGTTGGATGTATTGGACGAAGTCCCTGCCTGGGCTTGTATTGCTTTTGGATATCCCAAAATTAAACCTTGCTTTTGCATTCCAGCATGCTCGTCTTTGGTGGTCTCTCTGGGGGTCACGATCTGGGCACAACAGTCCAACCTCCAGACTTTTAATTTTTTTTTTGAGACCGTGTTTCTCAATGTGTAGAACTTACTTACTATTGGGAAATACTTTCTGTGTGCAAGGCCAAATTTCAATTCAGAGATCCAGCTCAGCTACCTCTGCTTTCCTAGTGCTGGGATTAAAGGCATGCACCTACATCTGTTTCCTGAATGACAGGATTAAAGGCGTGGACCACCACACTGGGCTTCCTTCTATTTCTGTAACTCCAGGAACATTTTTCTCTCTGTATCCGTTTTTAATTTCTTATTTATTCTGTTACTTTATTGTACATTCAGTTTAATTTCAAATTTTATGTGTCTCTGTGTGTCCCTGTGTCCGTGTGTGTGTGTGTGTGTGTGTGTGTGTGTGTGTGTGTGTGTGTGTGTGTTTGGTGGGGGTTCACAGTTCAAAACTTTTCAGTAGCTGTGGTTAGCCAACAGCATGGCTATTGACCTCACCAAAATGGAAGCAGTCATGAGGATGGAAGCCATCTTGGCTGGTGACCTCACCAAGATGGAACCCACCATGTGACATACTTTTCCAGGTCTATTTTGTTCTCTCTGCATTTCCTAGCCTCTGGAGGGCCAAAATTTAAAACCAATTTGCATGTGAAGAATTGTGAAGAGCTCTCCTGACAGAGAAAGTACATTCCATATGAAAAGAAAAGTACCATAAAAGTTTAGTTTGCTGTCGGGAGGGGGGGAAGGGAGTGGTTCAGGGGACACCAACGGGACACAGAAAAGAAATGTGTATTTACAGACACGGTTAAAAAAAAAGAAAGAAAAAAGAAAAAAAGGTCACAGAGCACAGACACCATAAGGCAGAGCAACAACTGATTCCCACATTTGTTTCTGCTATTATTTGATCTGGGTCCCATCTACCAAAGAATAAATGGACAAAAACAGAAACCCCAAATCTTAGCTACAGGGGATCACTCAGGCCTATATTCTCAGCAATCTGGAGGCTAAGGCTGAGAGTTGGAGGCCCACCTGGGCTACAGAGTGAGTTCTAGGGCAGGCAGGTCTATACCAAGAATCCCTGGGGGGAAAAAATTGAAGAAAGAGAGACAAACTTTCAGCCAGTACCTAGACTTCTCTTCTCATCCTACCCCCACCCTACAACAACCACCAGAAATGGCTTTGTTCTGTCTGTGTGTTGTGGCGACACCAGTTTTTACACTGCTGAGGATAGAAGCCAGTGCTCGGGACACCCGAAACCAACTCTGTTCCTAACCCAACACCACTAGCTGGTGCATCACATCCCTAGCCCTGTTTTGTTTTCCGTTCCTTTTATTTCCTTTTTTTTTTAATGCCATGTTAAGTGTTCATTATAATTTTTATTATTTTCACTGGTGTATGTGTGTGGATTCACTCACATGAGTACAGATGCCTAGAGAGGCCAGAGGCATTGGAGTGGGCAGGCATAATCAAGAAAGAGAGAAAGAAAGAGAGAGAGAAAGAAAGAAAGAAAGAAAGAAAGAAAGAAAGAAAGAAAGAAAGAAAGAAAGAAAGAAAGAAGACTGTCTTGAAAAACTAACCAAACAAACAAAAAACTAACAAAAGCAAGCAAGCATCATTGCCATCAGTATCTGGGCTTCTTATCATACTACCCCAACTGCCAACACCACCAGAACTTGCTCTGTTATGTATACTGTGATGAATCCCAGTGTACACACACACACTGCTGAGATCAGAACCCTAGACTAGCTCAGGTTCCCAAACCAACATCTGTAGCTTCATCTCATCCCCACCCAGGCCAGATTCCCTTTGCTTTTATTCATTTTTGTCTTTATTAATGCCAGGTTAGTTAATTATTTTAATTTAAATTGTATAGGGAGGCCAGAGGCTTTGGATTCTATGGAGTGGAAAGGAAGGAAGGGAGGAAGGGAGGAAGGAAGGAAGGAAGGAAAGAAGGAAGGAAGGAAGGAAGGAAGGAAGGAAGGAAGGAAGGAAGGAAGGAAGGAAGGAAGGAAGGAAAGCAAAAATTAACTGGGCAGTGGTGCTGTTGGATTTTAATCCTAGTACTTGGGCAGCAGAGGCAGGCTGATCTCTGATTTGGAGGAAAGCCTGATCTCTGTGATTTGAAGGTCAGCCTGGTCTACAGAGCTAGCTCCAGGACAGCCAGGATGTCACAAACAGACCCTGTCTTGAAAAACTAACCAAACAAACAAACAAACAAAAAACTAACAAAAGCAAGCAAGCATAGCTAGCTAGCTAGCAAGCAAGCAAGCAAGCAGGGCTGGGGATGTTCTGAGGCTTCCAGACTGGCTTCTATCCTCATGTCCAATGTGGGGGTCATTTTCAAACGCATAAGCACTGCCTTCCTTTGTTTGTTTGATTCCTCCAAGTTTTCTATATTTTCTATTCAATAAATTAGTTGGGACAGTGGCCTTTCTACATACATAGCCTGGGAAATCAGAAACTGCCCTCAGCCTACAGCACGGTTGTTGACCTCACCAACATAGAGGCTTTCAGGAGAATGGCAGCCATCTTAGCTGGTGACCTCACCAAGATGGAAGCCACCATGTGACAAACTTTGCAAGGTCCTTTCTGTTCTCTGTGTTTTCCTGGCCTCTAGAGGGCCAGAACTTAAAAGAAAAAAAAGGTCACAAAGCCCCTCTGCCTCCTGACAGCTGGAATTAAGGGCATACACCTCCACCCCACCAGCAGGCTGTATGTTTGGTTTTTGAGGCAGGGTTTCTCTGTGTAGCCTTAGAACCTGTCCTGGAACTCACTCTGTAGACCGGGCTGGCCTGGAACGAACAGAGATTTACCTGCCTCTGTCTCCTGAAGCCGTGATTAAAGGCTGCACCACCACCACCCAGCCCCGGGCTCTTTTATATTTTACATTATTTTTTAATTTTATTTCAGACTGTATTACTCAATATGTAGAACATATTGTCCTGGACATCTCCCCGTGACCCCCGCCCCCAGCTGAGGACCGAACCCAGGGCCTTGGGCTTGCTAGCCAAGCGCTCTACCACTGAGCTAAATCCCCAACAGTCAGGACTGTTATACAGAAAAACTCTGTCTCAAAAAATCAATCACGAAATCAAAAAATAAAATAAAATAAAACTCCAGGAACAACATTTTTCTCTCTGTCTGTTTTTAATTTCTTCTCCTGTTAACTTTATTGTACATTTAGTTTAATTTCAAAATGTATTTATGCATCTACGGATATGCTCATGCATGTGCATGTGAGCCTGTATGCCTGCTTGGGGGGTGGGGATTGGTCACAGTTCTAAACTTTTCAGGAACTGCCCTTAGAATGGCATGTCGACCTCACCAACATGGAAGCATTCATGAGAATGGCAGCCATCTTAGCCAGTGACCTCACCAAGATGGAAGCCACCATGTGACAAACTTTGCAAGGTCCTTTTTGTTCTCTGTGTTTTCGTGGCCTCTAGAGGGCCAGCCAGAACTTAAAAGGAGAAAAAAATAAATAAATAAAGGGAAAACAGAAGGTCACTCACCACCACCTCACCAGCAG